CTCTAATTCCAGGGGATTTGATGCCCTTTTTTGGTCTCTGGGACACTAGGCATGCACACGGTCAATTTATATACATGCGGGCAAAACACTCATACACATAAAAATAAAATATTGGGGCTGGAGAGATGGCTCAGCAGTTAAGAACACTGGTTGTTCTTGCAGAAGACCCAGGATCGAATCCCAGCACCGACATTTAACTTTGAGGAAGATCTTATCAGGAACACATAAAGACAAGCTACAGGTGAAGGAAATTGGCACAACATGAGACCCCTGACCAAGGAACATCTAGTCCCCTAATCCCTACCCTAAGAGCATCCAGTTCTATATTGCGAGCAGACCTCCCCTTGGCAATGCAAACTCCTTCCAGTAGCTGTCTCCAGACCACCCTCTGCAGCTACTTCCGAACTTCCCTTTGAAGCTGCCTTCCCAGAGACCCTATAAAACCCCAAGCCCCTCTTCACTCTGTGCACAACTTCTACCCCGCATGAAGGTTATTGCCCCTTGCTGTGCTAATAAATGCAGTCTTGGTTGTTTGTTTGTTTTTTCTTTGCCCCTTGTTTCTGTAGTTTGAGCTCCAAAATCTAACACAGGCTAAGAAGAAAGATTTGGAAATCACATAACTGGCATATCTGGAAAACAGAAAAACTCTTAAAATCCATGATCCAATTAAAAGATGGGCTAAAGATCTAAACAGAGAGTTCTCAAAGGAAGAAATAAAGATGGCTAAGAAACATCTCAAAAAGTGTTCAACATCGTTAGTAATGAGGGAAATGCAAATCAAGAGAACAAATGCTACCAAATGCTGGCAAGGATATGGAGAAAGGGGAACACTCATTCACTGCTGGTGGGACTGCAAACTTGTGAGGCCTCTATGGAAAACACTGTGGAGAACTCTTAAAAAACTAAAAAATAAGCTGGGCATGGTGGCACACGCCTGGAGTCCCAGGACTTGGGAGGCAGAGGCAAGCGGATGTCTGTGAGTTCAAGGCCAGCCTGGTCTACATAGTGAGTTCCAGGACAAGTGAGGCTACAGGGAGACCCTGTCTCAGAGGTGATAAACATTACCATTGAAAGCTACTTGATGACTTTATAGACATACACAGGCGCCAAGCATCCAAGTGCAACTGATTATGACTAGTAATAATCAGATACATACAGATTAGAGATGCATGCGCCAACATCTCAATGATAGTAGGAAATACACAGAGCCTTTCTGCAAGGAACAATATATTCTAAAATGAAATGGAGATCTTTTTTAAAGGTTAAAAACTCATTCAATTTAATGTCTTACAGGGATTATCCTGAGTTTATTATTGTATAACTATATTAATTCAACTGTGAGCCTAGAAACTTGCACCCACTTGTGAAAGAGATGTACTCTTGCTCTGGAGTGTGTTACTGAATATGTTAAAGCTGTAGTGAAATGCTTCTTCTAATCATGTAGTTATTAAAAATTCTTTTTTAAAATGATTAAAAAAAAAAACTAAAAATGAACCTACCATGTGACCCAGTTATACCACTCCTTCACATATACCCAAAGGACTCATCCTATTGTACAGACACTTGTACAACCATGTTTGTTGCTTCTCTTTTCACAATATCTAAGAGATGGAAGCAACCTAAGTGTCCCTCAACTGATGAGGGGATAATGAAAATGTGGTTCATTTATACGATGG